GTGCGTCAAGTAGTACTGGTAGAACCTAGCGAAACCTTCGTTTAACCAAAGCGTGTCCCACCAATCGCATGTGACGAGGTTACCGAACCACATGTGTGCAATTTCATGAGAAATAATGTTTGCTATGCGTTGTTTGTACCAATTGTTGCTGTTTTCAGGATCGTACAGAATAAGTGCTTCTCTGTAAGATCATAAAAAATTGTTAGGATTCCTAAATAACACAGTTTAATAAAAAAAAAGTTATTATTTGTGAAAATATGTGACCTTTAATAAGGTTAGGTTTCCTAGATCTCTAAAAATGTAACGTCTTTTTAATTTTGTAAACGTGACCTCATCGCCTAACTGAAGTCAATGACTTAATATTTGTTTGTTTGGTAAGTCTGACACTCTCACCTCACCCATGGTAAGAGAAGTGATTGGAAGATTTTCCCCCTTCAAAAATAGGCATTTTCTCCCAGTCAATCTTTGGGTAAAGCTCAGATACTGTGACAATTAAAATTCCTATAATTAATTGCCTGATAGTCCTAGTAGGCTTTATTAGTAATAAGAATAAAGTGGCACCACACCAAAATTTTCTCATATTATGTCGAAAGTTCTGGTAAATATAATTATCTATTTAAATACCTGTAGGTTAATAGGCCCCAGTTTTCCATAGCACCAGCGCTAAAGTCAGGGATAGCAGCTTGCTTCATTTCCATATTATTAGCCATTGTGTATTAAGGGTAGTCAGTGTACTTTTCCATTAAATTCAGAAGTTTTTCACCAATTTCCAGAGAATATTTGCCTGTATCTCCAATGTTATTTCGAGCAAAGATTTGTAATGGTCTTTGACTATTTGTTCCAGTTTCCACTGGTATGTAATTGGATACTATGAATGCCAGCAAGTATGTGGACATGATAGGAGTAGTATAGAACGTTTCTTCTACTTTCCCGGCAATAATAGAACTGTATAAAAGATTTGTTGAAAGTAAATAAGTCTTATTATAATTATGAAAATATTGTTTAATAAGTGACTAAAAGCGAACTAGAGTCTTATACAGTAATCCATTATACAAAACTTCTTTATGTCGCTGTCACATTACATTTTTTCAAACTTTTACCATTTATTGTGCAGAAGAGCTCATAAGAGCTTATAATGCAAAGTATGGTATACTACTAGGTACCATACTTTTTACCAAAATAACCCTGTTGTTATGTACAGGTCCAATTTCGCAATCTGTGCTACTATTAATAAAACACCAATATCTAATACTTTGCCTAATCCGGGATCGAACCCGAAAGTCTTCGGCAGAAGCACTTGCGACCACTCGACCAATTAGACAGTCGAGGATACGAAATATAACTGTAGGTAATTTATGTACAAGTGACTTTTTTCTTCTCCTCTATTAATAATTAATATCTTCTGAAATTTCGTTGCGGGACCCAAGACAATTAATCATGTTCATTAGACCCTCCAGACTTCAGTATTCCGGTGATATCCTGGTTTAATCTACTGTAGATACTGACTTACAGGTGTTGCAGCAGTGTTAGGAGGTGGTAGCGGGCTTGTCCCAAAAAAAAATTAGTGACTAGACTAAAAATAATGATTATAAGATCTTACGTAAGATCACTATTTATGGGCATGTTTGATAACGAAGGCTGGGTATTGTCAGCGTCTCTAACCAGTGTTATATCGAATGTAGCTTTGAAACTAGGTTCATCGTAGCAAGGGAACGCTCGACGAGCATGACCAGGCTGAAACTGTGTCGTAGCCATCCATCTGGAAAGAAAATATACATAATTATTATATGTGTCAGGTTAAAAAAAAGATTTGAATATTCTTTTTTTGTGTTTATTATACTACGCAGAGATAGGTTCTGTAAAATATTTATCCGCTCTTACCACGAAATCGAAATCATATGCATTATTTTCAATCATACGTGCTTCCACTCACTTTTCTATAAACTTTATGTCTGTTTTCTTCACGACAATTTTATGACATTTCATGGTTTAAAAATCAGTCGTATGTCAATTTTGTAAATAGTAATTTTTAGTTTTCTTTTTTTTTTATTATTTTAGTGTATCTTAAGTAATAGTTAGCATTTATATTATTTAAGTTTATATTATTTGTAAATATAAGTTCCTCGTAATATGAGAAAAACCGTAAGTGCGGTTTTGGACCCCTTGCTAATGTTGCCGTACGTCATACGCACGCTATTTCAATAATCAAACTCAGTGTAAAATAAACTAAAATCAAGGGTTACTCACATGAATATACTGAGAAAAGCTCTACTAGTTTCGAACCACAGAGGGGTTCTTCCTTATGAGTAGCGTGCGCGGCGACGTCGCGCAGTTCACTAGCTGCTAGTAGAGCTTTTCTCAATATATTTACGTGAGTAACCCGCGATTTTAGTTAATTTAGTATATCTCAGTCTAAAATATTTGAATCGACCTAAAATTTTGACATCGATGAATTAAGATCGGTTATTGATATTGGCTGTTATTCAATGGACGATTGCACGCATTTTACGTAGAAAAAAGCAAAATTGTGTCCGGTGTGGCGACGTTCCGTCACTCACTCTCCATACATCCATCTATCGTTATTTGTAAGCTAAATACTTCAAATGACACGTCATAGTCAATAACCTTTCGGGTTAAACTGACATCAACCTACCTTATTTACTTATAAATCATAAATCAGTATCTTACCTCCTGTTCCCAGAGTTATCGACGTACCAACTTCTGTAGAAACCTCTCATATCTGTTTGTAGTGTTCCAGTAAATGACATCTTGACGATGTAATCAGTCTCTGGACTTAGATGATTAGATGTTGAAATCTTTAAAAAGTCAGTGTTTGCTTCGCATGTGAACGACTGTGACGACTGAACAAGGTTTATAACGGGTTGGGTAGTTGTAGCTAAGGCAACGGACACACTGTTTGGTGTGATAGTCAATCCTCTGCAATGAAGTTGGATTTCGTTGACTGCATCTTTTCCAACTTTAATTTTTATTTCGACATCACCCGAAAACTCAAAACTTTGCAAATTTGGTTCCAGTTTGACTTTGTAACTAATTGGTTTCGTGGCTGTTGGTAGTAACCGGTAATTGCGGTCGCTCAACAGGCTTATGTATTCGATCCATTCGGCATCCGTCACATCGATGGGGCCAAACGCCAGTACAGACTGGAGTAAAATTACCCCCAATATGAGGTTAAACCAGCGACTCGCCTAAAAAACAAACAATGTATGTAAAACGTTCCTGATTTTTTTTTATAACTTTGCCCCACTCTAGGATTTTCTCCTATATCGTGGGTGCATTTACAAAAATACAAGTTTACATACACATGACACCCAGACCGGGAACAACAACCTGTGGATCACACAAACAGTTGTTCCGTGCGGGAATCGAACCCGCAACACGTTGCACGGCAGCCAGTTGCCCAACAACCGCGCCCACCGTGCAGTCTATTATATATCCGTGGATTGATACGAGGATATAAATACTACGTATTACATATTAAGCGTGGGAGAGCCATTCCTGATATTAACCCATAAAAAAAATACGGCCTCGTTGGCCGAGTGGTCGCAAGTGCGACTGCCGGAATGGGTTTCTAAATAAATCTCAGTAGGTAGTAGCACGGAGTTTGAATTGTGCCCGGTATATGGCAATAGGCTCACCCCCTATTACATGGGACTAATAACATAAATAGTGAAAAGTGGATATTACTTCTGTGTGCACCTCTGCCTGCCCCTTCGGAGATAAAAGGCGTGATGTTATGTTATGTTAAAAAAATTCAAAATCCCATGAAAATTAACATCCTGAGATTAACCGTCTGCAGCTGACGTGTAGTCCCACAGACACCGCGAAATACAAAATCACGTGTTATACCGTCATTTTTCAAATACGAGCATCACTGCTGCGAGTACCTTACTGTATAGTGTTTGCTTTACTTTAATTCTACAAAAATATTTGCTGTTGAAATGGTGTCTGGTATAATATACACCTCAGTTGAATTGTAACAATTAAACCACGTCAGTTGCAGAGGGTTAACCCATTCAACCAAACAACCCGCTTTATAATGTTATTAATTAAAATTAGTAAACTTGTAGTCGCATAGAAATAATAATAATTAAAAATTAACTTAGATATAAAATTACTGAATAAGTAAGCTGAAGGTTAGTTTATCACTTAAAGCATTTTGATTACAGATTATTTAATTTATTTTGGTATGACGTGTTAATCCGACAAAGGGGTACATTAAATGAAACATAAATCTAATTGTACAGGTAATAGTAATAATTAGGGACCGGAAAAAAGACTATTTAAGGGTAAATAGGTATTTTATAAGTGTAAAAGTTATTCTGAGAGTTAATATTAGACAACAACTTGCACTAAGCATAATTTCCGGCGTCGCTTTTTTCCTGCAGCGCACACGCATTTTTGTGTTTGGTACATTGTAGCTGGTACTAAATAAATTATTTTTCTTTCTCTTATTTCTTATCTATCTAAAAAGCGCTAAGTAAATACCTAACTAGCATGAGTCGCGCTTGCGTTATTCAAAATTTGATATTTTGGTGATACAATGGTACTCACTACTCAGATTGCGATATCTGTTACCCTGAAGCGATAATATCACATGGCGATAAGTGTTTAAGCTCTTGCTGCCTATCAAATCCTTTTACAAAAGATATAACAGGGGAACCTGTATCACAGCACTATATACATGCCAAATGAATGCTGAATTCTCTACATTGCCATCTAACAAACACTAGTAATCACATCTAACATTTTTCTAATCATGAATCATCAAAAATCTCTGTATAAAGTATACTTAAATTCAACATTGTTAGGCAATTTTATGTAGGTATTGTTCCAAACTTGGCCGAATTCGCGCAACTGACGTTCATTTAACTTACTATTGAACTTTATTCTACCTACTGCTACAAACTAAATTTACTTGGTATTAAATTTAACTAGTAGCTTATGTTCCTACCCCCTCTCACCACAATGCAATGAATACCTACAAGTTATATCATTGACTAAAACTGACGTCTTCGTTATGGTATTGTATTCAGATTATTAAATTACATAAATATATCAGTAATATATAGTATTCTATAGCACTCACTATTACCTGAAAGTAAAGAAGTGTTATATAACTTAACCTAACCTTCAAACAGAGTTAAGTGGGGAACATTTTGCTAGCGCGCCCTACCAGAGGTACAAGTATTTTTTTTTTTTAAGGGGGGAAAGTCTTCGAATGACTGCTCCCGCCTGGGTGAGGCGGGAGGGAGTGTCAGACTCTTACTGACTAAAAACCACCCCGTTCCTTCTCCTGCACTTCGAGCCGGAGCCCCGGTTACCCGTTAGGTTCTCCGCGACTCCGAATAGAGGTACAAGTCTAACATCTCATGTAATATCAGCAGTATATAATTAGTTCAATTACAAAAGTCTTTCGAAACAATTTCAAAATCTAAAACATCTAGACAAAACACTTTAATCTCAATAATTGATCGATCGTCGTGAATGGAAATCCGACCTTATTCTTTCAACAAAACTGTACTAAGCTGTTTTATCTCTGAATAATTGTGCACATTTCAATGACGCAACACTTAAATAGCTTTGAGTTCATGGCAAACACTTTTATAATGTAAAATAATAACTTCAAAGTACTTCTATAAAGAAATTTATATTGAATATTTTTTAAATAATTATAAAAAATCATCAAAAACTACATACCATTTTGACGCTGGTTCGAAAACGAATAACAAAGCAGTATAATTTATCTATATCGATACCCTCCGGTATTTATATCTTATCCGAATTACAACTTATTAAACCAACGATAAATATTATCTAGATAGCAGGTCGCTATTAATTTATTTTCAAAAAGGTAAACGTGCAACCAAAAACCAAAAAATCTAAGGAAATATGTTTTTATTTAGATACATAATTAACTAGCTTTTGGCCGCGACTTCATGCAACTTTAGAACAAACAATATTTAGAATGATGTTTATAACAATTAAATGTCTGATTATTATTTAATATACCTCTAGTTAGAAGTCTTATCGGTACTATTTTAATACACGAATATTATTTTAGTTTTCATATATCTACTAATATTTTTTCAATTCTTTGTATATTATCTAGAAATGTACCTAAAGCTTTTTTCATTTTAAAATTATTTATTCATATCTATTAATTATAATTCTATACTTTATATGTAGGTATGTATTATTCGTCTCTAGTGGTTTCATACAAACCCGACCCTATTAGCCAAACCGGTACTTTAAGATTTCCAGACAAACGGCCATTTAATGTATACCTTATAATAATGTAGATTGTACCTACCTATATAAATGCAATTTAATGATCCATTTCCCTTACGTATTTTGTTATAATACTAGTTTCTACCTGCGACTTCATCCACCGAAATGTGGCACTTTTATTTTGAATTGTACACAGAATGTTAAGCTATAAAAAGAGAAATATGCGTCTGTGAAAACCGCATACGAATCGGATGAGTAGTTTCATGTGATGCGCGTGTAAACATAAAGACAGACAGACAGAAAAAATATATACTCACGTTCTTGGGCTCTACATCGATTTACCTATATAAATAAAAATGACTTTCCGTTCCTTAGTAAAACTCGAGAACAACTGAACCGACATGGCTAATTTCGGTCTTGAAATTTTCGTGAAAGTCCAGGGAAGGTGGAAAATATATTTTATGCGTTACGGAGTCAGCTAGTCATTATTAAATATCTTTAATGTAAAAAAATAAGTAGCTTTATTATTATATGTATAGATGCATATTTTAAGTAATCGTGTATGAATCAAATAATTATCAGGAACAAGTCGTTATCCTTGTAGTTACAAGATAAAGAATGTATTCGAATATAACGATCAAACGAACGAACTAAGACTATAATTGTTTGAGGTGATATTATTCACAGAGTATTAATTTTAATTATCTTCAGGCCGCCTCATGGTCGCGACGCGATCTCCGGCCACCGTAAGCACGGGCCTGCAACCGGCGAGCACGGTGACTCGCCGTCCGATCAAATCCAGGCCAGAGCGTACGGCGTGTGGTGTTCCGCGCGCCTTAAAGACCCATCAGACCACCAGACCCAATAGGACTAATTCCGATACGCAGACGCGGAGGACTTAACGGGTTGCTGGGGCTCCGGCTCGAAGTGCAGGAGTAGGAACGGGCTCGTTTTTAGTTAGTTAAGGGTCTAGCACTCCCTTTCACCATCGCGAGAAGCCATTGGATGATTTTCCCCCACAAAAAAGGCACCTTATAATAATAATATCTTAATTTACTGTTTAATTTCTATTCTACTTTATTTTTTTCTTAGATAGGATGGCCTGATTGGGTATAGGCCTTCTTCAGTTTGGTCCAGCTGTCTCTGTCTTGAGTTGTTTTTATCCACTCCTGCTTCTGCTGTCCGTCGTTTATATCGTTTTATAGGTCGTCCTTTTCGTCAACGTCCACCAGGGCCTTTCTATCTCGTCGCTTCTGCTGTCCACCAATTGTCTCTGTAGCGTGCAACATGACCAGCTCATTGTCATTTTAAACCAAGACTGTAATGTAGGTACACAGGACGTCGATGAGCCCTGTCCTTTTTCGGATTCAGTCGCTTCTTATTTTTTTTTTTAAAGTACGGTATATGTAGTGTAAATTATCAAATGTCCTGCCGCTTTCGGTGAGGCGTGACGGAGTCTCTTTCTGACTAAAAACCCCCAGAAATATGTGAAGGAATGTCTTTATCAAACGCGCACTAAACTAGCTACGTCTTTCAGTACCTAATGAAGATTTTTTTAACAGGAAATGATTTGTTATTGCCGTTCAACATGTCATCGTCTTTTGGACACCCTATCTCACGACGACGATGACAATAATTTAGTCATTTTTATGGCAATTTTAACGTAACGTATATTTTAGATTTTAGTTGTATTTTAATCATATTTTTATTTCATAATATAACTTTCGTGAGACATACTACATTAATTATTATATTTTTCGGCTTACTCATGTAATTATTTGACGAGGAACTCGACTGGGTGTCAGTGAGAGAGTCGCTGCGTCGCGGGTCGCGGAATGCTGCTCATGTATATGAGCCTATTGCCATATCCGGGCATATGTTCAGACTCCAAGCTACTACTGAGATTTTTAAAACCCAATAATACTTTGCCCGACCCGGGAATCGATCTCGCGACCCCGGCCTCGGCCAATGAGGCAATCTTTTTTTAAGTAGCGTAATTATTTATAAAATAATATTTAAATTCATATTTTATGTTGTTGTGATACAAAATTTTATTGAATCGAAATCGAATAATAAAATTATTACAAAACCCATGCATGCCTCAGTATTATACTAACTAAAATTTTGGTAAATAGACAATCCCAATAATATTTTCCTAAACAATCAAATAGAAAAATCCTGGCTGAGCAGTGTATTTGGGACCAGTCCAATGAGGCTGCAAAGATTGAAGAAAAGTAGATATTTAAATCTGTTTATATTATTATATTAAGTAAATTCTTAGCATTATTACAAATACGAATTCCAAATTGCGATTTGAGGTGAGTTTTTATATCTGGAACTCTGGAGACAGTTGCGAGCAGTGTTGAAATTTTCTTTGAGCATGCAGGTGTCACCGCGGTCAACAGCTAGGTAGGCACCCCGGTAAGTGTTTGAGGAAGTTACTCTAACAGTTCCTGTTTAGTGCATGCTAAATGATACAATGTAGCTGATCAAATATTTCAATAATAACTACTGTAACATCTACACTTGACATTCGCAATAAACGATTTCAATTTGAAATTTTTTTTAAAAGAAATAATCTTTCTTTTAATCAGCAATGGCAACAATGAAGACCAATTGCATGTAGCACTGTATCTTTATTGACTCAGAATTATTGAAATTACAATACTTAGGTACATTTGTACGTATACAAAACCTTTGTTTTTATACCTGGGCCACATGTTTTAACATATTTCTTATGGGTCTCATTTTATTCGCCAGTTTGATCAACAAAAATTTATTCAGTGAGTTGGAAGGTATTATGAGAGTCTGTTGGTACAGTGAAATAAAATTCACGCAGATTTTTTTTTTATTTGGTTAATTATTTATTTGTTTATGTATTTATTTATTTATGCACAACACACTGACAATACTCAGGAGAATATATATATATATGTCGCAGAATCAACAAAGATGCACAACTATCGAGTATCGTTATTTTAGAACAACGCCATCTGTTATCATTTGTCGGAAACGTCAAGCAGTGTGCTTGGGTGATGGTCGGTACGGGGCGTGGCATGTTGGCATTTGAAAGGCGTCACTTTTGAGTAGGACACGAGGGTGAGCGGTTGTTCTGCCAGCCCGTACGGAACTTACCACGTTTACGAAGAGTCCGATGACGAAGTACCCCCAATGGGTGAATTGTCTTCTACATATAAATAAACTTGAGGTACATAGGTAGGTACTACCTATTATTCCCGTAGGAATATTTTCCTTTCTTCCTTCCTAGTTTTTTTTTTATTTCTTGTGCACCTGTGAGGATACTTTTATAAAATTCAATAAATTTTTAAAGTCTAACAAAATTGCGAAAAAGGTCTTGCTATGTGAATTCAGATTTTCGAATATTTTTTATGAAATTTAGCGAGCACAGAGATCAAATAAGATGGCAATCGGCGCGCTGTCCATGGTCATACCACAGAGTTACAAGTCATGTCTGGTCTTTGGAGGGGTCAGTCTCACGCTCCAGCAACTTTTGTCAAGCCGACCTCCTCATTTACAGAAACATAGCGCAATCAAACAAATTCTAACATGGTTCAGAAAATATATGTGATACCTTAGGTATTGCAAATATGTTAGTCTGAATCATTAGGCGTATTATAAGCCTTGTTGCTATCGATAGTGGTTAATTCTCTACTGTACGGTTGGTGCGGTGGTTGGGCAACCGGCTGCCGTACAACGTGTCGCGGGTTCGATTCCCGCACAACACTTTGTGTGGTTCACAAATTGTTGTTTCGGATCTGGATGTCATTATGTGTGAACTTGTATGTTTGTAAATGCACCCACGACACAGTAGAAAATCCTAATGTGGGGCAACGTTGTTTAAAAAAAATATATATTTGTAGGTACTTTATAAAATTACATCATCTACAGTTAACCCCCGAATATTTTTCATTTCAGGTAAGCAATCACTATAAATTACCTTCTGTTCTTTATCATCAGATTAATTTGATAAATATCTAATTCACAATATGTTACAAATAACATATCTTGCATAAAAAGATAGCGTCACGTTTTATAGGTTCTTTCCTTCCAGATACAGATGTAACTCTTTATCTTAAGATCCTAGTCTTTAAACACACCACGAAATATTTCGTGGGTGTCCCTTCGTCCAGCATACTCACCATGGAATCCTGATATTTCATGAATGTCAAAAAACTGTTCTGAAATAGTGCTAAATAGTGCCCAAAGGAAAAAAATAGTGCTCTTGTACTTGCGAAGTTATGGCCATAGTTCGATGAGTATGCTGGACGAAGGTTTCGCCCAGCATACTCACCTCCGTCCGGAGAATCTGTATACGCTTCAAACATAATTCATACTTCAAAAAATAGTTCCCAAATAGTGCCAAACGGTGCCCAAAAAGAAAAAACAGTGCTCGAATAACTTCGGAGTTATAGGCTTCGTTCAGTGAGTATGCTGGGCGTAGGTTCTACGCCCAGCATACTCACCTCAGTGCGCGAATATCGAACGAGCTATAGGTACAATTTACGTCTCAAAAAATTGTGCTTGAAATAGTGCCCAATATCAGTCCAATTTT